AAATATTATTGAATTGCCGAAAGCAAGGAGTGTAGACTCTGACTTTACACTCGGTTTTTAAGTTATTATTTTTAGTTATTAATGTTATTATTAATTCCAAGTTTATTCCAACTTGCGAGTTAAACGTTTATTACAATCTCCCTAGACAAAAACATAAGACTTAAAAATATATAAAAACCCCACCTATAATACATCCCTAAATAGCCCTGAACTGAGCGCCCAAGTTCTCAAAATAGTGCTCAGATCCATGCAGTGTAGAGGAACTGCCACCGTGTTAAAGTTCTGATTGGCCGCACACGTGGTCCTATGCCCCAAATAATTTCAGGGTGTTTGGGGCTTTTGCCGCAATATGGGGTGCTTTGCCTAGCTCTCAAGTAGTGTTTGTGCCCCTTAGTCTCAGGCACCTTCCTCCAAAAAGCACTCTCCTGGAGAGTTGCAAAGTCGTTCAAAACCCCGGAAGTTGTCTGGGACCGTACTGTCACCTCATGCCAAAAACTGTTCCATAACATTCGCAGCTAAGTACCCCTGAGGTGACCGGGGACCCACGAAGTCCTCATGACAAATTTAGTTCCATAATGATCATGGCTAAGTACCGCTGAGGACAATTTGTGGGTTTCTTCATGCAAACGGCCTCCAGCTTCGGTTCCAATCGAATGAAGGGAAAGCGCCTAAGCAGGAGCACCCAGAGAAAGCTTCTAATGGAGGATGGGGAGGTTAACTCCCGAACGGGGTCTCCGACCTGGACCCTAGTCGGTGGGCAGGAGGCCTGCTTCCACACTCCTCCAGGAGTTCATGGCAAACGTCCATGCTCTGGTCCTCCCGCCCCACTACCTGTTCCCTCGATCCTGTTCCCTCATATCTCACCCGCATTCTGTCTCCCTCTCTTGCTCTTCCTCTCACTAAAGTTTTCAATCTCTCACTTTCCTCTGGCACATTTCCGTCACCCTTTAAGCATGCAACCTTAATGCCAATTCTGAAAAAGCCCAACTCCCCATCCAACTACTGCCCTATATCGCTACTGACGTTTGCCTCCAAGATCCTTGAGAGAGTTGTGTATGCAAGATTGACAGACTTCCTCAAATACAACTCTCTGCTTGACCCGCTTCAGTCTGGATTCTGCACTCGTCGCTTTTTTGAAACAACTGTGACCAAAGTATCCAACGATTTAATCACTGCTAAATCTCGCATCCATTACTCTATTCTAATTCTCCTTGATCTTTCTGCTGCCTTTAACACTATTGATCATCAACAACTTCTTCTCATTCTTGTTCTACAAGATACTGCTCTCTCCTGGTGCTCCTCCTACCTCTCCCAACACTTTTTCAGTGTTTCTTTCTCTGGCTCTGCCTCTTCTCCCCAACCCCTCTCTGTTGGTATACCCCAAGGTGCAGTCCTTGGTCCCCTACTGTTCTCCATCTATACTGCCTCCCTTGGTAAACTCATCAGCTGCTTTGGCTTCCATTATCATTTATATGCAGATGACACAAATCAACCTGTCCTCTCCTGATCGCTCTCCGCCCATCTTGACTTGTGTCTCTGACTACCTCTCAGCGATTTCCAGTTGAATGGCTGCTCACTTCCTTAAACTCAACCTGTCCAAAACAGAACTGCTGGTCTTTCCTCCCTCAAGTGTTGCTACTCCCGTGTCTGTCTCCCTCCAAGTCAACTGCACCACCATCACCTCTACCTCACTGCCTAGGTGTTCTCTTTGACTCCGACCTCTCCTTCACCCCTCATATCCAGTCAATAACCAAATCCTGCCGCTTCCTTCTCAAAACCATAGCTCGCATCTGCACCTATTAACACCAGACATGGCTAAGGCGCTGGTCCATGCCGTTGTTCTTTCCCATCTTGACTACTGCAATCCCCTTCTCAGTGGTCTTACATGTTCCCAGATTGCACCACTGCAATTTATTATGAACACAGCGGCAAGTCTCATTTTCATGTCCGCCCGCACCTCCAACACCTCCCCCCACTGTCAGTCCCTACATTGGCTTCCAGTTAGATATAGGGTTCAATTTAAGATTCTGGTGCTTGCTTACAAGTCCCTACATAATGCTGCTCCAACCTACCTAGCCTCCCTAATACACAAGTATGTCCTGTTGAGGCACCTGCCCTTGCCAAAGACCTACGTCTATCCTTTGTCTGTACTCCCACATCTGATGCTCACCTCCAAGACTTCTCTGTGGAACTCCCTTCCCTTCTCCATTAGTCTTTCACCCAATCTTCACTCCTTCAAAATATCTTTGAAAACACACTTCTTCAGGAAAGGATATAATTTAAACTGTTAGCAGATTTTCATTCCCCTGGTTCCCACCCATGACTCCTCTCCTGCAACTGTCAAAAATAATCTACTAAGTTCCCAGTAAATACTTTTCTAGAAAACTATTTCATTACCCCTACTTATACCCTTTGTGTCAATATACTCCACTCCCTCTAGCATGTAAGCTCATTGAGCAGGGCCCTCAACCCCTCTGTTCCTGTGCGTCCATTTGTCTGGTTACAATTACGTGTCTGTTAGTCCACCCATTGTACAGCACTACAGAATTTTGATGGTGCTATATAAATAATAAAATAATAATAAAGAGTGTTTGTCACAGTAGTAAAAACTGGTACTTATACATAAAGGGGTCAGTCTATTAAGGAGCTCACTTAGTGCAGCTTCATTAGAAGACAAAATGACTCATTAGAGTGAACAAAATGCCCAAGGCAAAAAGTCCTAAATGTGAAATGATGCAAAAGAAAAATGGAAAAGTTACTCCAAATAGGATAGAATACAGTAGTCCTTGTCCTGAATGCTTACACTACTGAGCAGGTAGCTAGCAAGCCAGTCCAGTTAGTCACAATCTGACAACTACATATGTCACAATCACATTACTCAAACACTATATACCTGCAAATTTTGAATTCTCAGCAGTCTATAAAGAAGGATGATGCCATGACCTTTTGAAAAAAAGCCTTATTTTCAGGCAAAATGTGTTAGTATATATTTGTTTGATACTATTATTTTTTTTAGTAGATAATTGCTTTTGGTATTCATTGTGGATCCTTTCTAACTTTACTTCTGCATTTATTTGGTGTGGATTCTGTGGCAAAACTAACTTCGCCACTTGTGCCTGGAGAGGACTAATTGCCGGCCTCTTGAAATGTGACTATGGCCCCTGGGAGACTTTGCCATTTAAAAAACACTATTTGGACTTATTGGTGTTTTAAAAGACTGTTCCTGTTTGACCCTCAACATAGAGCCTCGTCTCACGATTGGGGGATACGACTGCATCTACACTGGGGGATTGCTTACATACTCCCCTAGCTATAATTACTGAGCTCTTTTAAGAGCTTGTTCCAGCTTTGACCTCGGCAGGAAGAGAGGTTCGATCTGCAGTGCTTATGGTGTCTGGAGAAGTACTTGGAGCCCTTGGGAAGCACTAGGAGCATCCATCAACAGAGGTACTCAGTCGGAGTACTAGGAGCTCCGTTACAGATGCATTTTACCTATGCCCTGAGGATTGAACAATCTAAATTGCTCTGAAACCTGTATGTATGTTTCTTTATCTCATTCACCATTACATACAGTGTACACTTTATTTGTTTCTTTTTTGCATATCCATGCTGAGGGCACTTGAAGAAATATTATCCTAATGTGTACCACTTCACATTATTACAGAGGAGCCATACTGGGCTCATTAATATATGAGTGTATTATGAGTGTGTATATATCTATATCCATATATAATACAGTTTGTTGTTTCAATAGAAATGGTTTGGAAATGTTACGGCTCCCCCGGTAGGAGAGGGTATACTGCCGTATAGGATGTTCCCCTACCGAATGCAGAGGTAGCTACTGAGCGCTCCAAACTGCCGAACAGCAATCACACGAACCCGTTGGTCTCCAAAAACAGCCGAACACATGAATCAGTCAGTCTCCCAAATAGTCGAACAAGCATAATCCATACGAATAATCCCCCCAATGACGAGACAAAGCTCCGTATTGATGGTCAGCAGGAATCTGATTTAATGTGGGCTGCATGCCCGGTATTTATGCTGGTCTCCCATCTGGTGGACACTCCCCTAGGGACCAATCACAGAGTTTCATACATAGCCATTCCTCTTTTATTACCCAGGACCCTCTGCTCTGCCCGGGAGATAATTGTGAAGTAATTCAATTATCTCCCAGGACAAAGACCAGCCGCCATTTTAGATGACAAGGACAAAAAGGCATAAAAATACATAACTGTTCAATATTAAAACATAACATAGGCATTCAACAGGTCCCCAGATAGCTAGGATCTAAGTGTTCACAAAGTCTGTTCTCCATACGAATGGGCTCCACGGCATGGCTATCTGGGGTATGGTTTATTTGTTCCCAAAGTACCGAATAGAGGGACGTTTGCGGATTTCTACCGAAGGAGAAGGGAAGTCGGCAGCCTCAGTGGTGTTCATGCCAAAAAGTGTCCGTTTTGAACACCGCTGAGCAGGGCCGGATTAAGAGCACAGTGGGCCTGGTGCTGACAATTATGATGGGCCTAATTACGGAATCTTATTGACCAAAAACACTAAAACAATCATACCTCCCAAGCGTCATGTATCTGATGGAGATGGTGCTGGAGGGAAACTCATAGGATGCAGCTATAAGAAAACACATACTCTACGCTAATTTCTCTCTAATTTATGCTTTCATCTTTCAAGTAAATCCATAACCCCTAACAGCAATGTCCAGTGAAGCAGGAAGTCAATGGGCGGGGTAAAAGGGTGTGCCACTGGCGCGAATCACGTGACAAGACCTGCCAAAAGGGGTGAACATGCCCAAAAAGGGGGCATGTTTGTCCAAAGAATTGGAAGGTCAGCCTGGCATGAATGCATGTCAGGCTGCCTGCCAATCCTGCAGGCTGTCCAACTAAGGGCATACTATGCAGGCAGCACCTTGAGGTTGACATAAATGCGTCTAATGATGCGCTCACTCCATTCTTTCTAAGGACTGTCCCCTAGCACTAGCTGGTCCACTTGTCTCCTTACCTTCTTACTAGCAGGCAGAGGTTCCTGGTATATAGTCTGAGATAGAGAAAAGGTGTCTGTAGTGAGTGTAGAAGAAAGGGGACATGCCACAGTGTTAGAGAGACCAACGTCTGCATTACCTAAACTAACTTTAATGTCAGCCAGTGCATACCAGTTTTGTTCCCATACATCCCTCTTAAGCTTCCAAACTTAAAGGGACACTATAGTCACCAGAACAACTACAGCTTATTGTATTTGTTCTGGTAAGTAGAATCATTCCATTCAGGCTTTTTGCAGTAAACACTGTCTTTTCAGAGAAAATAACTCCACTGTCCGCTCCTTAGATGGCTGCTAGAGGTGCTTCCTGGGGCAGTACTGCCATTCAGTGTCTCCACCCTCTGCATGCAGACACTGAACTTTCCTCGTAGAGATGCATTGATTTAATTTATCTTTATGAGGAGATGCTGATTGGCCAGGGATATGTTGGACTTGTGCTGGCTCTGCCCCTGATCTGCCTAGTTGACAGTCTCAGCCAATCCTATGGAGAAGTATTGTAATTTGCTCAGACCACCACTTCTGAGCCAGCAGCTGCAGAATTGAATACAAGTAATATTTTACTATATTTAGGCAGGCAAGAAGGGGCCAGGGTGGTGGTTTTAACATAATAGGGTAAGAAATACATGATTGTGTTCCTGACACTATATGCTCCTTTAAGCAAGAGTATGTGAAGATTAGTTAAGGTTGCCACCTTTCTTGGAAAAAAATACCAGCCTTAATCATTTGTATAATTAATTAGTTATGCGTGACATCACATGATGTAAATCACAAGGAGTGACATCAGAGAAAATTCTGTAAAATCACCAACAAGCTACTCACAGTTTGATTCTGCTGTATAGATGGATTGTTCCCACTGTCTCCCTGTCTCCCAGTGTCTCAGTCTCGCAAGTCACCCAGTGTCTCAGTGTCCCTATGTATCACAGTGTCAGTGTCCCCATGTCGCCCAGTCCCCTAGTCTCCCAGTGTCTGTGTTGCCATTTCTCCCAGTGTCCCAATGTCTCAGTGTATCCCCATGTCACTAGGATACCTGGGACACTTAGAGATATGGGGACACTGAGAGACCCGGGGACACAGAGACATGGGGACACTGGGAGACATGGGGACACTGAGACATTTAGGGAAACTGGGAGAAATGGGGACACTGAGACACTAGGGACACAGACACTGGGAGACATGGGAACACTGAAACATTTCAGGACACTAAGACACTAGGGACACAGACATGAGAACACAGACACTGGGAGACTAGGGGACACTGGCTGGGAGACAGACATTTGGGGACACTGGGAGACATGGGGACAGTTGTGGACATAGGCATGTGGACACTGGGACATATAGGGACACTGGGAGACATGGGGACACCAGGCACACTGAGACACTAGGTACACAGACACTGGGAGACATGGAGACACTGAAACATTTGGGGACACTAAGACACTAGGGACACAGACACTGGGAGACTAGGGGACACTGGCTGGGAGACAGACACTTGGGGAGACATGGGGACAGTTGTGGACATAGACATGGGGACACTGGGACACATGGGGACACTAGGCACACTGAGAGACATGGGACACAGACACTGGGAGACTTGGGGACACAGACACTAGGGACACTGGCTGGGGGAAATAGTGTCTCCGTGTCCCAATGTCTCCCAATGTCCCTATGTCTCACAGTGTCCCCATGTGTCTCAGCATCCCCATGTGTCCCAGTGTCCCCTAGTGTCTCAGTGTCCCCATGTTTTCCAGTGTCCCCAAGTGTCTGTGTCCCCAGGTCTCCCAGTGTCTGTGTCCCCATGTGTCCTAGTGTCTCAGTGTCCCCTAGTGTCTGTGTCCCCATGTGTCCCCTAGTGTCTGTGTCCCCTAGTGTCTGTGTCCCCAAGTGTCTGTGTCCCCAAGTGTCTGTGTCCCCAAGTGTCTGTGTCCCCAAGTGTCTAAGTGTCCCCATGTTTTCAAGTGTCTCAGTGTTCCCAGGTATCCCAGTGTCTGTGTCCTAGTGTCTCAGTGTCCCCTAGTGTATGTGTCATCATGTGTCCCCTAGTGTCTGTGTCCCCTAGTGTCTCAGTGTCCCCATATGTCCCCTAGTGTCTCAGTGCCTTTCCCCCCATCCCTCACTTACCTGAGCTGTAGAGCTGCTGTCTGGACTCTCTGTGCTGTGTAGCTGCTGCCCCACGGATCAGTGAGTAGTAGAGAGAGGCAGGGATATTCTGTAACTTCCTATCCCTGCCTCTCTCCACACACACTGACCCCTACTGGCCGGTGCTGGTATTGCAGAGTAATTTCCATTTATTCTGAGAAAATTACCTGCATTTGTATTGCCGGTATTACTGCAATACCGGCATGGCCAGGCAGCCTAAAATACCAGTCAGGTGGCAAACCTAAGAGTAGTGCAGCTCCATCAGCCCCTATGTTAATCCGGCCCTGTCCCTGCAAGTTAAATGCTAGTCTTACAAATAAAGATCCAGATGTGTGAGAATAACCTCTCACATAGTGCCCCACAGCAAACACTCCACCATAATGGATGTGTCTAAGTGAGCTTGTGCAGTGATTTTAAAATAAGAAAAGAAAAACCTGATGCGCGTTTCGGTGCTTCTATAGCGCCTTCGTCTGAGGCAGATTATTAATAATACTTAATTAGTAATATATATACCCTGTTTCCCCAAAAATAAGACATCCCCCGAAAATAAGACCTAGCTTTTTTTCTGGGGATGCTCGTAATATAAGCCCTACCCCAGAAAATAAGTCCTAGTCGCTAAAAGCTAATTTATTAATCTATTTTCAGGGAATATATATATATTGATACTTGCTTTATATATGCACATTGGTGCTTGGAATATGCATTGGTGCTT